ACGCTCCCATTGGCTCCTGACGGGGGAGGGCGGGATTACCTCCTCCCAGCCGTTCCAGCCTCAGCCAATCAGTGTGAAGCCGGCTGACAGGGGGGCGGGATTTTCAAACTGCTTTTCCTTTGTCTCACACTGTATAAAAATGCCTGGAAATTCTTGTACTGCATGCTCTGCAGTGGAATGATTCCTGTATTGCATCCATTCAGCTGAATCGCAAATAAACGCCTCGGTCGCTGGACTCCTTTCGCCTGGTGAGATTATTTGATTTTAATACTTTTTGCGCTCTTGGATTGGCTTCCGGAGAAATCTCGCCAAGGTATCTGGGCCCTCTTTGGTGCGGTCCTTGGGCTCTCCTCCAGGGAAGAGCCCCCTAAAATAGCTCGATATCACTCTCACACAGAACCCCCATGTGAGTCTAAGAACATCCCATTAACTTTTTCTGGACTTCTACTTTACTCACCAGGTCTCTTGCAAAGCATTCATGACAAACATTTGTGCCAGGACCAACATTGGAACTGTGACCACATTTGCCCTTGGAATCTCTTTGATAATATCAGCATCACACTGCAGCAGTGTCTCTGAGTGAAGAAAGACAAGAAGAAGAAAAAAGAGGTATAAAAACTTTTCTTATGCCTTCTCCTCTGAACAGCAGATAAAACTGGAAACGTGGGCATCCTCAGGTGAATGCTTAACTATTCACCAGCCATCACTGACTTACTTGCTACGTTACCATTTAGTAACCAGCACTTGAATAATGAAATGTTCCACCTCAACCATTTAGTCAGTTGCACATAGAAATTACTGTTATGGTTAACAACTGAATATTTGAGTTAAGAACAGAGAAGTTGAACTGAGAATACTAGAAGAGAATGGAATTAGGTGGAGAAAAGGGCTGTGCCCAGCAAGGTCATTGCAATGGCATGCTGAGTAACTGAACCAAGAAATCAGTTCCAATGGAATGAGGAATAATAATAATAATACTTTATTTATACCCCGCCACCATCTCCCGAAGGAGACTCGGAGTGGCTTACATGGGACCACGCCCGACAACACATCAATAAACAAAAAAGCAATAAACAAAAAACAATACAGTTAATATAAGTCACATATGCTTTCATGGCTGGAATCACTAGGTTCTTGTGGGTTTTTTTGGGCTATAGAGCCATGTTCTAGAGGCATTTCTCCTGACGTTTCGCCTGCATCTATGGCAAGCATCCTCAGAGGTAGTGAGGTCTGTTGGAAGTAGGAAAAATGGGTTTATATATCTGTGGAATTGCTGGGGTGGGGCAAGGAGCTCTTCCCTGCTGCAGTTAGGTGTGAATGTTTAGCTGATCACCTTCATTAGCATTTGAAGGCCTGCCTGAGCCTGGGAAAATCTCTTGCTGGGAGGTGTTAATCTGTGCCTGGTTGTTTCCTCTCTGTTGTTTTGCTGTTATAATTTTAGAGTTTTTTAATACTGGTAGCCAGATTTTGTTCATTTTCATGGTCTCTTCCTTTCTGTTGAAATTGTCCACATGCTTGTGGATTTCAATGGCTTCTCTGTGTAGTCTGACATGGTGGTTGTTGGTGTGGTCCAGCATTTCTGTGTTCTCAAATAATATGCTGTGTCCAGGCTGGTTCCTCAGGTGCTCTGCTATGGCTGACTTCTCTGGTTGAAGTAGTCTGCAGTGCCTTTCATGTTCCTTGATGCGTGTCTGGGCAATGCTGCGTTTGGTGGTCCCTATGTAGACTTGTCCACAGCTGCATGGTACATGGTAGACTCCTGCAGAGGGTGAGAGGATCCCTCTTGTCCTTTGCTGAATGTAGCATTTGTTGGATTTTCTTGGTGGGTCTGTAGATAGTTTGTATGTTGTGTTTCCTCATCAGCTTCCCTATGCGGTCAGTGGTTCCCTTGATGTATGGCAAGAACACTTTTTCTCTGGGAGGATCTTCATCTTTACTCTCGTGGCTTGTTCTTGGTCTTGCAGCTCTTCTGATGTCTGAGGTGGAGTGGACTCCCAAAAATCCATAAGGACTCCACCCCACTCAGACCCATCGTGAGTGCCATTGGATCCCCCACATACGACCTAGCAAAATTTCTTGCTGCACAGTTACAAAGCCATATTGGGCTCACTACACACTACATCAAGGACTCAGCCCACTTCATAGAAAAAAATCAGCAATCTCAAGCTAAATACAACGACAAACTGATCAGCTTCGATGTGGTATCTCTATTTACCATGGTCCCGGTAGCAGACACCATGGCACTCATCAACCAGAGGTTCCCAGAAGACATCACGGCTCTGTTTCACCATTGCCTCACCACCAGTTACTTTCAGTGGGACAATGAATTCTACGAACAGAAAGATGGAGTAGCTATGGGGAGCCCTCTCAGCCCGGTCATAGCTAACTTCTACATGGAACACTTTGAAGAACAAGCCCTGGAAACAGCAACCAAAAAGCCCACGATATGGTTCAGATATGTGGATGACACCTTCACCATTTGGAGCCATGGAGAAGAAGAACTCAACAGGTTCCTGGACCATCTTAACAGTTGTTTCTCAACCTGGGGGTCGGGACCCCTGGAGGGGTCACGAGGGGGTGTCAGAGGGGTCACCAAAGACCACCAGAAAACACAGTATTTTCTGTTGGTCATGGAGGTTCTGTGTGGGAAGTTTGGCCCAATTTAATCGTGGTAAGGTTCAGAATGCTCTTTGATTGTAGGTGAACTATAAATCCCAGCAACTACAACTCCCAAATGTCAAGTCTATTTTCCCCAAACTCCACTAGTGTTCACATTTGGACATATTGAGTATTTGTGCCAAGTTTGGTCCAGATCCATCATTGTTTGAGTCCACAGTGCTCTCTGGATGTAGGTAAACTACAACTCCCAAAACTCAAGGTCAGTGCCCACCAAACCCTTCCAGTATTTTCTGTTGGTCATGGGAGTTCTATGTGCCAAGTTTGATTCAATTCCATCAATGGTGGAGTTAAGAATGCTCTTTGATTGTAGCTGAACTATAAATTCCAAGCAACTACAACTCCCACAGGACAAAATCAATACCCTCCCCCAATCCAACCAGTATTCAAATTTGGGTGTATCGGGTATTTGTGCCAAATTTGGTCCAGTGTATGAAAATATATCCTGCATATCAGATATTTACATTACTATTCATAACAGTACCAAAATTACAGTTATGAAGTAGCAATGAAACTAATTTTATGGTTGGGGGTCACCATAACATGAGGGAGCGTATTAAGGGGTCGTGGCATTAGGAAGGTTGAGAACCACTGGTCTAGAGGCATTTCCTCCTGACGTTTCACCTGCATCTATGGCAAGCATCCTCAGAGGTAGTGAGGTCTGTTGGAACTAGGAACATGACAGCACACATGCACATTAGATCCAAGTGACTGGGATTCGTCTCTGAATATCGGGCTCTTTTCAAAAGCCCAGGATAGTAGAGATATTTTCATAGAATGTGTGCAGTTCCGAGAAGTGCTGCCTTCTGCAGCATGTGGATTGATGTTCTGTCCAAATTAAGTCTTTTCAGGTGCCCTTAATTGTTATTGTTGTGGTTATTATTATTATTATACTTATTTAAGACATCTGTGGCAGATAATTGATTTTACGATAAAGCTTAAATGGGTATGCAGGTTGAGCATCCCTTATCTGAAATGCTTGGGACCAGAAGCATTTTGGATTTCTTTTTTATTTGCATACTAGCTCTCCCCTGCCACGCATTGCTGTGGCCCAGTCTGGTGATATGGAAAATAAAGTAATGAGAAAGTGCTGGTTTCTAATATATGTAATTTCTTTATGTGTGTGGGTAAACAGTATTTCTTGCTGCTTCTTTGTCGGTGTTGATGTGGAGAGTGTCTGGTTTGCCTACTCTGGAATATGCAACATATCATAGTCCTTCTTTAGGGGTCCCTTTCAAATCTATGTTGCCATATCTGTGTGAATCATATCTATCTATCTATATCTATGGCTGGATGGCTCTTTGTCAGCAGGGCTTTGCTTATGCTTTCTTGCCCTGGTCTGGAAGAGAGTTGGATTGGGTGGCCTTAAGTATTTTCTGTTGGCCATGGGGGTTTTGTGTTGGGAAGTTTGCCCCAATTTTGTCATTGGTGGGATTCAGAATGCTCTTTGATTGTAGGTGAACTATAAATCCCAGTAACTACAAATCCCAAATGTCAAGGTCTATTTCCCCTAAATCCCATCTGTGTTCATATTTGGGCATATGGAATATTTATGCCAAGTTTGGTCCAGATCCATCATTGTTTGAGTCCAGTGCTCTCTGGATGTAGCTGAACTACAACTCCCAAACTCAAGGTCAGTGCCCAGCAACAAACCCTTCTAGTGTTTTCTGTTGGTCATGGGAATTCTGTGTGCCAAGTTTGGTTCAATTCCATCGTTGGTGGGGTTCAGAATGCTCTTTGATTGTAGGTGAACTATAAATCCCAGCAACTACAACTCCCAAATGACAAACCATGAGTGAAGGACATACATTGGATTGTTAGGTGTCTTGTGTCCAAATTTGGTGTTAATTCTGTAGAGAAGTGTCTATTATAACTGTGTTTTAAACTGTGTTTATGCTTTACATTGTAGCCATGACCTAGCTGAGAGAGATAGGTTGCCATGGTGACAGGCCAGAGGAGGTGGGCGGAGCTTAAGTAGGAAAGGTTTGAAAACGACAGTTTAAAGTCAGTCAGGCGGATGAGACCCTGAAGGACAGAGTCAAAGGGGACTCTGGGATAATAGTTCAGTCAGGGGAATGAAACCCTGAGGGGCAGAGTCAGTTGAGGCTCTGTGGTGTAGTGTAAATTCAGCCAGTTCTTAGGATTTGTGAATATTATTCCAGCTAGGAAGCTGGAGGTGAAACCTCGTTAGATTGCTTGAGTAAAGAAAGAATCTAACAAGAAAGAGGTTTAGGGATCCCAGTGGTGAATGGCTGGAGATCGCTAGTTTGATCCTGTGTAGGACAAACAGTTGTAAATATTCACAATAGGGAACTGAAATATTAAAGCACCTCATTGTAGAAGAAGTCAAAGAATTGTAACATCACCTGAATGTATCTCAACTAAGCCATATTTGTAACCATCAAGCTTGTGCCAAGTTCAACAGTTAATATTGCAACAGTTACGCTCCGACAATAAATCTGTTCTCTTTGTGTTTTAAAACCTGCCTCATCCATTGATTTCAACGTTTTGCACAATCCACACTACCAAAGTGGCCTCACAACCCAGATAAGAAGAAACAGAGATTATATTACCAATATCTCTTTATATTAGGGTGGCAGCTTAAACTAGAAGTCTCAAATTCTCATTACATTGGTGTGGTGATCCTATTTAGTTGGGATTTCACGCCATTATTTTATTTTTGGAGACTACTTCACATATTTTGGTGGCAGCAAGTGAACGGCTTCGAATTGTAGTAACGAGCGGTGGGGACGCGGCTTCGCAAATTTGGTGGCAGCGGTTTTTGAGTTCTGTGAATACTACAAACGAACATTACATTTTTATTTATATAGATATATAAATGAGGAGATATCTTGAAGATGAGAACGAAGTCTAAATTCAAAATTGTATGTTTCATATACAGCTTATACACACATCCTGAAGGCAATTTTATCCACAATATTTTAAATAATTTTGAACATGAAAAAGAGGTTGTGTACATGGACCACCAGAAAGCAAAAGTGTCGCCATGGGGATCTTGGAGTATTTTGGATTTTGGAATCCTAGAAAAGGGATATCAGCCAGCAAGCCAATGCCTTAAATCAGTGGTTCTCAACCTGTGGGTCCCCAGGTGTTTTGGCCTACAACTCCCAGAAATCCCAGCCAGTTTACCAGCTGTTGGGATTTCTGGGAGTTGAAAGCCAAAACATCTGGGGACCCACAGGTTGAGAACCACTGCCTTAAATGAAGAAATAGCTTGCTAAGATCTACTCGCAGGAACACCTCAGCAAATAAGAGTTCAAAAGTGGCAGGGTAAAACCCGGAACCTCAGTCAGTGGCTAAGAACGGATGAGAAAGTCCCTCCTGGGTGACTTGGAAGGTGCGGAACAGATTGCACTTTGTCACCATGAGATGCAGAGCCAATCTTAAGAAATGGGGCTACAAAGTGGAGTCCACGACATGCGAGTGTAGAGAACAGAAAACCACAGACCATCTGTTACAATGCAGTCTGAGCCTTGCCACATGCACAATGCAGGACTTTCTTACAGCGACACCAGAGGTACTCCAAGTGGCCAACTTCTAGTCAAAAAACATTTCGTATAATGCCAAATTCTCCACTTTGTTTGTGGGTTTTTAAAAATACATTATAACTGTAGTCTCAATTCGCTTCTGACACAATCTATATATATATAAATGCTCTATGCATAATGAGTACCTTAAAAACAAAAGAATCAATGAACGAAATCACACCAAATTTGGCAACAAACTGTCTCACAACACAAGGAGTGACCATCACTCAAAAATTATGATTTTGCTCATTTGGGAGTTGTAGTTGTTGGGATTTATAGTTCACGTACAATCAAAGAGCATTCTGAACTTCATCAACGATGGAATTGAACCAAACTTGGCACACCGGACTCCCATGACCAACAGAAAATACTGGAAGGGTTTGGTGGGCATTGAGTTTGAGAGTTGTAGTTCACCTACATCCAGAGAGCACTGTGGACTGAAACAATGATGGATCTGGACCAAACTTGGCACAAGCACTCAATACGCCCAAATATGAACACAGATGGAGTTTGGGGGAAATAGACCTTGACATTTGGGAGTTGTAGTCACTGGGATACACAGTTCACCTACGATCAAAGAGCATTCTGAACCCCACAAACGACAGAATCGGGGCAAACTTCGCACACAGAACCCCCATGACAATCAGAAAATACTTAAGGCCATCCTGTCCAACTCCCTTCACTATGGCAAGAAAACGTAATCAAAGTCCTCCTGACGAAGAGTCATCCAGCCATAGAAAGAGAGAGAGAGAGAGAGAGAGAGGAGAGAGAGGAGAGAGAGAGAGAGAGAGAGAGATAGGGAGTTGTAGTTGCATGATAGAATTGAACCAGCCGGGGCATACAGGACTCCCATGACCAAAAGAAAACACTAGAAGGGTTTGGTGAACATTGACCTTGAGTTTGGGAGTTGTAGTTCACCTACATCCAGAGACTACCATGGACTCAAACAATGATGTATCTGGACCAAACTTGGCACGAATATTCCATATGCCCAAATATGAACACAGATGGAGTGTGGGGGAAACAGACCTTGACATTTGGGAGTTGTAGTTACCAGGATTTATAGTTCACCTACAGTCAAAGAGTGTTCTGAACCCCATCAACGACAGAATTGGGGCAAACTTCCCACATCGAACCCTCATGACCAACAAAAAATACTCAAGGCCATCCAGTCCAACTTCCTTTACCAGGGCAAGAAAACGTAATCAAAGCCCTCCTGACAAAGAGCCATCCATCCATAGATATAGATAGTAGGCCTGGGTAACAACGGAAAAATTTGTTTCTAAAATCGATTCGTTTTTTGGGTTTTTTTGCGTTTCGTTATTTAAAATAATAACAAAATTTTCCTTAAAAAAAGTTCGATATTTACGAAATTTCGTAAATGGTAAAAAAATTACAAAACAATAACGAAACAATAACGAATCGATTCGTTAATGGCGGCCGCGATCGCGCAATAGGCTAAAAAAACTTCTGAAGCTTCCCTCTCCCTCTGTTGTTGACTGTTGGTGTGTTATTATAATTTTTTTTCACTAATTAAACAAAAAACAACTATAAAACTTGCCCCAGACATGCGGAAATAATTACGAAACGACCTCAAACCAATAACGAAACGAATACATAACGAAATACGAAGCATTTACAAAACGTATTTAAAAATTCGTTTCGTTTTTAAGTTGCTCCAGAATGGTTCGTTATCGCTTCATTATTAAAAAAATTAACAAATTTTTAACGAATTACGAATTAACGAAACGAAACCGCCCAGCCCTAATAGATAGATAGATACTAGGCCTGGTTGATCAAGAAAAAATTTGGTTCTAAAATCGATTTGTAATTGGGGTGTT